AATAAATTATTTCTCATGTTATGATGCATCACCTTTTCACTTAATCTCTTTACATCAGCTTCTGGTAGTTGTTTGCATTGCATTAAGTGCTGTATCCAGCCATCAACGTCTGCGAAATCCGTTGACGTTGCCATTTGATTAATATTTATATCTTTTAGGGGAAAAGTAGAAGCAACAAACAAACGGATTTTCAGGTGAGAGGATTGGAATGGATCTAATAGGGTAGCAAACAACTAAAAAGAATACTTTGTGAGGAGTGTTACTGATTGCAAATTTGGGTTTATTAGTGATACGATTGATGCAATTTACGCATTTTCATCATCATCCATCACCTGTTTACTAACTATTACACCTGTTTACTAACTATTACGGAAATGTGGATATGTGACATCACAAATTTTATTTTTTTGGTAATCGTGTCATAACTTTTCCTGCTTTACATATTTCCCGTTAACTTTTTCGCAAATGGCTTTTATGTCATTTAATGCATTTTTCACACTTTCCCTAAATAAGTTTGAATCAGTTTGAGTCGAAGATTTTTTTGACTCTATTCCGAACTTTAATACGTAGCTACCCGGCTGATAATTAATACCATAACCATCCGGATATACGCATCCGAATCCACTACCTTAAAAACGCAATCGGGATAAAACTTCGGAATTAATATTATAAATAATGATAAAAGTATCAGCAATAAAAATCAAAAGTTTTACGTACCATTAAATCGATCTCCTGCACTTAAACCGCTTGTGCTTAATAACCATTCTTGACTTTTCGCAAATGCCGGATCACTAAACAAATGATGAGACTCGCCCTGTTTTAGTAAAAGTCGAAGACCCAACAGATGACGGTCACAACCACGACCTTCTGATGCGTCTCTCGTATAAGCAGAATGGACTTTAGTCGCTGTCTGAAGAAGCTTGTATTTTTCGTGTGCCTATTTTGTGATTAGGATAATTTATTATTTAATTGAGAATGCTTATATTAGATGAATCGCAAATTTACTTACCGATAAATTATTGTTCACCATCCCTTCTACAAAAGCTTTGGATTCCACGCTAAGTGTTCTTATAGTTTCTGTGCGCCCATGCTTAAATTTTCGAGTTGAGGCGGTCTCATATGTGGCACAAACTTTTTTGTGCAGTTTATAATAAGCAAGCTGAAGAACCATTTGAAGATAGGCATCTGGTGAACATTTGCCTGTTTATTTTATATACATATAAAAATAATATCATCATTTAAAGCCTTTGATTTGTAATAAAATAAAGAAAAAATATAAATTACCAGTTTTCTTTATAAAATCAGCGCCATATTCATAATAATGTAATATCACAGCGTCCGAATCCTCAACGATTAGCTTAATCCTTTCTTCCGCTTCCCGAATAAAATGCAACGTTTGTTCGTTCGTGACAAATCGTATACGTTCAGGCGGCGGAATAGGACGCCCGGAAAGGGTTGCAGACAGCAACGTAGAATCTTTAAGAATATAATCGCCTATATTGGACGGTATAAGCGCATCACATGGGGAATGCTGAGAGGTGATAATGCAGTGGAATTCAGCGAAATATGAATCAGCTATTATTTCTCCTTTATAATTAAATATATCCATCATATATTTACTTCGCCATTCATCGCTGCACGTCCATTGCTTTCTATGATAATGGATATAGCTTTATCATACCACCGATTATGACCATTGAAGCCGTGCAAGACATTTCGAGCCCATAGATCGAGATCTAGGCCGGTAGCATAATCGTCCAGGCTAATGGCAAATAATGAATCTTCTATTTTATTCAAAGTTTCCCGATTTTGTGGTGATAATGTCAATAGGTGTTCACGTGCCTATAAAAATAAATTTTTTAAAAAAAAAGCTTATACATTTCGATTATATTATTTGGGTAAGTGATAATATTATTTACAATTGTCCATTTATCTCGATCGTCCGCTGTAAGGACCCCAATGGGAGGATCAAATTTTGTGTCCTTGTTATTTAAGTCTTTGATTATATCATTTAGTTGCCTTAAAGGAAAAAACAATCAATCATAAGTAATTTCTAAATAACATAATAATTAAAGAGCTTCAGATACAATATTTACTTTCCAATATCACCTTCGCTCAAAATTTGACCATTTTGATCATAGGCCTCGATAAGATAAAATTGATCTTTGGCGATTATTAATACAGTTTTTACTGGAAATGGATGAGGTGCATAAGGAAAGGAATCACATCCGTGCTGTGGTATACGAGTAACACCATAGCAACGTCTGTATTGATGCATGCACAAGGGATATAGACGAGTGGTCTCGGGTGGAAGATTTTCGCTGCAAAATCAGAGTAATTATTAGCCAAATAATGTAATCTATGATCTTTAATTGCAATCTATGTATATATACATATATAGGTAATACCTATCGAGCAATTCTTTGAATTCTAAAAGTTTCCAAATTAAGTGAGCAGCTCTTTTCACTTGAAACTCGGAAAATTCTCCACGCGGACGAGCTCCATCATGATTATCCCTCGATAAATATTCTTTAGGAGTATTCTTGTCGTCAATAAATAAGAGGTACCAGTTAGAATTTACAATCAAAGGTACCCTCCATTCTTGATATGCCTTCTGGGTCCAGAAAGTATCGTCCAGCCAGTTATGAGGAGAGCTTCGGTCAACGTCGAATAAACGTTGTTGAAGTACATTTCCAAGTCCATCCGGTTTCAAAAAGTCCTTAACGTAGGCTTCGTTACGCGCGACATCTTGTGCAGAAAGCAAAGGAAGGAGTGTGCGAAGGTACCTTGAAGTTGATTCTTCGAGCTTAGGAACGGGAAGTTTCGGCAGACTATTTTGATTGTCAAACGTTTTAATCTTTCTTGACATTTTCTCGGAAGTCGCAGATCCTGTAACCAGAAATTTATCAAATGATTCACATCTTGTGATTGATTGATTGAGAAAATTGAAAATCGATTATCTTCTATCTTTCTTTGAAGTTTCGAACAAAATGTCCACCAATTCCAATTCCAATGAAGTTAATAACATAGTCGGAGACGTTCAAACAGTGTTTGTTTCAAATTCCTACCTCGAAGAGCTTTCGGCTACAATGCGCCGAAGAACAATTCCTTGGGAGGTTTGTTTCTACAATAAAAAAAATGAACATTCTTACCATTATTATTACGTACTAATTGAATTTTTACGTCTTTAGGGCTATCAACGTGCCAGTCTTATCACAAAAGAAGAGTTTGATCTCATCGAGGCAGTTGAAAATATAAGTCGTGAGCAACTTCATGCCATTTTAAATAAGGTGATTTCAAATTCACAAAAAATAATCAGCTTTCGATCTTATTAAATCATTTATAAATTTTAATTATTATAGGATGGTGATACGTATGCCCAATTGTATATTAGTCTTTTAGAGAGAACAATGCGTATTGATACGGTACAGCATGTCCTGGTGTTGATTGGCGATATGTTGTCTGGTATTTTTTTACATTAATAATTTCTGTAAATACGAAATCAAGAAAGAAAGAAATAGATTAATTGATGTTTACCATCAGAAAACGAGAAACGTGCCGTTTACTTTCATAATACATCCATAAAGGATCCCGAATTTCCTTATCGTCCTTTTCTAAAGTAAGTCGAAAACAGATTGTTAAGTATTTAATATCTAAGGATTTATAATTTTGGAATATTTTTTGGTTATCCAGGCTTATCCATAAGGATGAAGACTTTATTCAATTAGAATCCGCAAAGATACTTGCTATATTGGTCTGGTATTTATGAATATCTTTAATTCGTATCTATTTAATTATCGCCTACATAATGGCGCACAATAAAAAAAGTAAATTACTCATTTATTGTTTGATCACTTGCACAAAAAAAGTACTGCTCCAAAATTACCACATGATTTCACGGAATTTTTTCAATGGATTGTTTCAAAGCTCAAAAGCATTAATCCTTTCGTGACTGACCTCGCCGTGCAAATTCTAGGATCTATATTAAAGGTACCAGAATGCCGAAAAAAAACTTGGAACATCCCGCAAGCATTAGACAAGTAAGTCCATTCATTATATTTAGATGATTGAAATTTTAATTGCGAATTGATTGCCCTATTATTTTATAATACAATTTAGTTTAGTTCATCTACTCAAAGACAAAACTCCTACGCCTCAAATGCAGTATCAGATTATTTTCTGTTTTTGGCTATTGACCTTTGATGACGAAATCGCGGCTAATTTCAACAAGTAACCATTGTTTCTTTTTTAAATTTTTATGCTAAGGTTTAGCTTTTCTCAATCGTTTTTAATTTAGGAAATATGACATTATTCCAACATTAATTGATATAGCAAAAAGTGCTATCAAAGAGAAAGTTATTCGCGTCATTATCGGGACTTTTCGGGTATTTATTGTTATGCTAAATAACTGATTGATAATCAGTCATGTTAATAAGATATCAATAAAATTTTCATAGAATATGATAGAGAAAGCTCCCGAAGAGAATTTTCCCGCCATGTTGGTCGCACGACTCTTAAACTTCCTTGAGAACTTATCTGGTCGAAAGTGGTCCGACACAGAAATATTAGAGGACATTGAATTCCTGAAAACGCAACTGCAAGAGAACTTTCAAAGTCTCACGTATGTATTGGGAAGACGACGACCTAAACCATACATTTTATTTCATCTTTTTATAATTAATTCACGAAAAACAAACAAAAAAAAAATAAAATAGTCAAAATTTCACGAGTGCACAATACTTTTATCGCGCAGGACTTTTGATGTTTACGGATCGGAAATTCGGTCAGGAAAGTTGCATTGGTCGCCACCGCATCAATCGGAACAATTCTGGAAACAGAATGCGACAAAGTTGAATGAAAAAGAACATGAATTATTGAAGTAATAATTGAAATTTTTTATCTCTGACTTTTTTTATTTGGAATTCTTATTAACAAAAAACTTTTGGTTATAGAATTCTAGCTAGGATATTAAGCACCTCAACTGAAAACCTAGTTTTATCTGTAGCAGCACATGACCTGGGACAATATGTGAAATATTATCCGAATGGTAAAAAGTAAGAAAAATAAGTTGAATTTTGCAAGACAGCAAAGGAAGCCTGATTGTTAGCTCATGTAATAAATAAATTAATAATAGATTTCTTCAAGAGATTGGTGCTAAACAACGAATAATGGAACTGATGACTCATGAAGATCCGGACGTACGATACCAAGCGCTACTTGCTGTACAAAAGTATATGACAAACGCATGGTAATAATTTTTTGATTTAAAATATGTTGATTTAATGATTAAAAATTAATAACTTGAATTTTCTTCTCTAGGGAATTTTAAAGGACACTTTCTTATTTAGTTGGCAATTATTTTAAATCAAAAATAAATTTTATTTATTTATTTTTGCTGGATGATATTTAATTTAATTTAGAATTTGTGTACCATTAATTTTAAATATTTATAGCAAGATGGATCTATAATATATAATTTATATTCGTTAATCTTCAAAATTAACATCATCACAAATCGGATTCATGGTATTACTATGTTGTTGATCTAATTCTATCCCAAAAATTTTACAAAGGGTTTCATAGGACTTTGCCTTTGTAACTCTATCGTATTCCGAATCTTTAGCGATGTCTGCATACATCTGCATTATAGTATATTTAGTATTCGAGAAGAGATTGTTATACTCAATTGCCTATATAATTTAATTATTTAGTACAATAATTTGAATAAATTATCATTCGCGTATTTTTGGCTTATATAATAATTTTTACCTTTTTAATATAAAGAATCACCACTTTTCGTAATGGTAAAAGTTCACCATTCTTACAAAAGACCGAAACATTATTTTTCGCTCCTCGTGCAAACATGACTGAACTAACGTCTATAAATAAATTCCAAAGATAAATTTATAATTGTTATGATTAATTAATAGTTTAAATTATTTATTGTTACTTGCTTGAAATTTCTTTTAGTCGTGTGATATCTGCTCGAGTAAATATATCACCATTAGCTATTATTGGGATAGAAATGCTCTCGACAAGATCTCTAAAGATATCCCAGTGTCCTGGATGACGTGGTCTTTCATCACGCAGCCTGTTTTAAAGTAATTGGAATAAACATTTATTCAAATATATTCTTTTAATCATATTAAAACATATACACGTGCATACCTACAATGAACAGCAATCGCTTTTACTCCTGTGGACTCGATCATTTTACATAATTCAATCGTTTTTTCTTTGGTTTCTAAAATCCTGATGTCAAATGTGTGCTCAATTAAGTCAATTATGTTGATATTTCTCGTTATTTGTTTTCTTATTTACCTTATTTTGCAAGACACCGGAAGCCCACTCTTTTGAACTAAATTCGTTAAGATCTGATAGATAACAAATAAAATAGTATCAGAAAAAGAGTATTTTTACCAATTAAAAAAATATTTCACGCTTACTTGCTTTAATAGATCAGGGTTCGACAATAAAGCAGCACCCATTCCCCCCTGGATCGAGAATTTTTTCGGACATCCACAATTCACATCTATACCAGCAACATCTTGTTTTCTATCATACACAAACCATCACTTTCAGATCAATCAAACCCATTATTACATAATCTATGTCATTGCACTTACACGGTTAATGCCGCCTGAAGAGCAAGCTCAGGATCCGCAGTGCCAATTTGAAAGATCAATTTCGGTTTTTCGGTGATGTGTGTTTGGAAACATGCTAATTTACTCTGTGGATTAATATAAGTCACTAGGCCATTTGATTCTTTTGGTTTTTATATATATATATATAGATTATTTTTTCTGCCATACCAAAAAAAAACCACTTTAAACTCAAAATCATTTTGGATTTACCATTAAACGTGCGTATTGAAGCAACAATACTTTTATCTACTATTTCAGGCGAATATACTAAATCTTATTAAAGAAAAGCAGAATTTAGAAAATTCAGAATGCATAGATCTTTTGTAAATTTTATTTATCTTTCTAGATATGTTCATATTCAATACAATACCCGCCCCAAACTGCAACGCAAGTAGACGCATAGGCAGAGTTCCTACTCTGACCTATCTACAAATATGTTTATGCGTTACTAATTCGTTATTAATTCGGAATTTTGAAAATGTAAATGAAGCATACCATTGGTGCCAAAATTTCTTTATTTTTGTATAATGCAGAGGAAGACATTTCTTTAGTTTTCTCGATAAACTACGCTCAAAATGGAGTGGCTTCAGGTGACAATTTTAAATTAGTCCAACAACTTAGCCACGATTGACCAAAAAAATCTTATGCCACATTTCATACCTTGTATTTGAAATTTTCTTTTTTCTACTACCTACACAACTTTTACAATGAGAGCAAAGTCACTTTTAGTCTCATCACTTCTATGCTACTCCATGTAAGCAGGGAAATAAAACGTGAATTTTCACAATAATTAAATAATTGGAATCCGTTCTGTTCGTTGTATTTATAATTGACGTGTTTTTGTAATTATAGGTTTTCCAGGATGGAAAACACCAAAGCGCGTGCAATTGAAGACACGACCAAAATAACAAAAGTAGTTTTTCTTGGTTACATAAGGCGTGATGGTGAAACAGCGACGAGTACTGATACAATAAAGGACAATGAATTATCAATAGCACCATCACAATCCCAAATAAGAGATCAGCAAGATATAGACACGCTACAAACGGAAGAGAATCAACCATCAGAGTTTCAACCATCAGAGTTTCAACCATCAGAGTTTCAACCATCAGAGTTTCAGCTTAATCTTGAGGAAATAGAAGGAGATATTCAAAATCATGAGAGCTTTGAAGAAAACACTATAAATACTGATAATAATAACAATAATCTCAATTATAATGATGATAATTATTATTATTATGATAATTATAATGGTCAAAGTGCAGCTGAAGATTCTAGTATAAAAGCACATCAAGAAACTGTTGATGATGATAATAATATTAAAAGTAAAATTGAAGATTTTTTTGAAGGCAAGGTCAAAGATTTGAATATTGATGGTGATAAGAATGATAATCATGTTGAGAACGATGAGAATAATAATAATAATAATGATAATGATAATAATAATAATAACAACAACAACAACAACAACAACAACAACAACAACAACAACAACAACAACAACAGCAACAGCAACAACAACAACAACAACAACAACAATAATAATAATAATAATCAGCATAATAATAATAATAATGACAGCAATAATCATACAGATTCTGGTAAAAAAGAAAATAGCAAAAACACGACTGATCCAAAAGAGGATTTAAATTTTACATGTCAACCGATTGGGGAATGTCAACCGTGTTCAGCATTAGAAATGGTATTTTCCGAAAGTACTTAATTCTGTATTTATATTATGTTTCTGTGATTTTTAATTATTCAATGCATTTATTAGGAAACTGAAGATTATTGTCCATTTGGTAATAAACAGCCGGTTATCTGTGAATGGCACTCGTCATTGGCAAATCAAAGCTCCTCTGTGGATCATATATCAAATTTTCAAGCTTGTCCCCGCGTAAAAAGTGTAGAAATTTTAAGATTTTTCAAATTTCAGGTTTGACTAATAATTTATGATATTCTCTCTGATGAATTATCAAATTATATTTACATTTATTTTTCTTTTTATTTTTGATCTGTAAAGTTTTTTAATATATTTTTAGCAGTAGTTATGTGTAGCTTCTTGGTATGGCGGCGGCGGAAATTAGCTGCTGAAGGGTATCGAAGATTAGCGCGTCGAATTGGAGACGAAATTTAAGAAAGCATATATTTATATGTTACATTTGCAAGCGATGATTTTCATTGATCGAATACAAGCTTTCATATGTCTTACTTTTTTAATCTCCGATGCACGCTAATTGAGGCGAGTTGGTTATCTCGTTTACATAAATCTCCCCCCTCCCCACAAAGCCCCGACAACTAAAGGTATAAAGTATAGGACATTTATTGATAATGCGTATTTATCAATAGACAACTATCAAGAAATAGAGATTTTAAATCGCCTAGCTTTCTCATCTATGTTGTACTCGACTTTTAAAAAAATTACTTGTCTAAGGAACGAATTTCCCGTTGTGTCACAAGCTACGGAGGAAATCGAAACTTCCAACATAATTTTTAATTAAAAATTCGACATGTAGTTTCGTGTAGTTTAAGAATAACCTTCACGCCTGATATACTCTAAAATGAATCGTCATAATAAGGATTTTTTTGTATTAGTTCTTTGGTACTGGCATTACCCACTACCATCATCTTTATTGTAATCGAAAGGTTGAAATCAAAATCAAATATTTTCTAATTATAAGTTACCATAATGTAAAGAAAGGGTGACGATACAAATGCTAAATGTTTCATGTAATTCTATCAATTACAGAAAAAATAAATCTTGCCATGCCGCTTTTTCTTTTTCCCAAATCCCTTCCTTAATAATACATTCATATATGTCTATTAATTCCTCATTATTAAGATTACCAAGTTTATTCACATACAAATCCTTAATATGGTGGCTTATTTAATCGAGAATTAACCATTTTTTCGCGAAGATGGCGAGCAAAGCGAACAATAAAATATTCCAAATCAAGTAGTTCTTGCATTACAAACATTGAATAACATTCATTTTGTATTTAATTTGGACTTTTTACGTTTTTTCGTTTTCGGCTTTTCAGCGTCACTAGCTTCGTGATGATCGTCCTTTTGATCTTTATTATTATTGGTATCGTTACTTTTTGATTTATTTCTTTCATTCTTTTCAATGTTTTGATTATCACCGACAGTATTAGATTTTCGCTTTTTTGAAGCTTCAACGATCTCCCTTTAAAAAATAAAATATCAAAACCAGGTTAATAGATTCAAAAATACAGTGCATTAAGAAAGACTTTGGACAATTTTGTGTAACAAAATTTGTATAGAATCTGATAACTAAATAAATCTCTGGCTCTTCAGCTTTCTAACGAGCTATTTCATATATAAGACTTTCTTGATGCACTGTATCTAGATCCCCCTCAAAAAAAGAAAACTTACTTTTTCCGTTTAATTTTTTCCAAATCATATTTCGAAACGGTACTAATCGTGCGTCGATCAATTGGTTTCCGACGTACTTGCTTTTTGGCATTTTGTGATGGTGGTTTTAGGGTGAGCATCCAGTCTGGAACTTCACATCCAGATTCTTTCATTACATTTACAATACTAAACGCAAATCAAATTGTTAGCTAATAATTCAAATTTAAATAATTTAATAAAGAAAACAAAAACCTCTTCAAAAACGGAGCATCATCTTTTGTGAAATAAGTGACAGCTTCCCCGTTTCTACCCGCACGCCCGGTTCTTCCAATACGATGAATATAACTTTGCACCGACTGCGGAAAATCATAATTCACCACCAAATTTACACCTTTGAAGTCCATACCGCGTGCCATTAGTTCGGTAGCTATGAGCACCCAAATTTTTCCTTGCATAAAGTTGAGGACTATAGAATCCCTCTGTCACAGAAAAATATATATCAGAATATCGCGAAATATAGTAAGGAAATAAAAAACTTAACTTAATTCTCACCTGAGCTTTTGTTCTTTCAGCATGTATAACATCGACATTGATCCCATCATAAATCAACTCATGAAACAATTCTTTTGCGCGTTCAATAGATTGCACAAATATCAGCACGGGTGGTTTTAGTCCTTGTTGAATTTGCTGTCGGATCGCGATTAGTTTTCCTTCTTCTTGGCCGACAAATAATAATTTTTGTTTTATGGTTTCAGTTGCCGCGTTTCTTTTTTATTAAAATGATATTCATGATAATTGTATTTAGTATTTTCTTTGGATTAGAATTTAATATGTGGGAATTAGGGATTAAGATAAAAGACTTACTTTACACCAACAACTACACGAATAGGATCCTTCATAATAGTATTAGCTAAAGATTCGACACCGGAAGGCAGCGTAGCACTATACAAAGACTTTACGATTCTTGGATTCGAACACGCGTTTATTATTTCATCTGTCTGTTCTAAAAATCCAAGTTCTAATAGTTTGTCTGCTTCATCGAGAATCAAGTGTCGAACACTATATGTGTGTGTGAATTGTATGAATAAATAAAAGAAGCTTAAAAATAAAAGATGTAAAATAGAATTTAATATTAATTACTTTTTTAATTCGATATTTTCCTCTGTGATTGCGTGAACAAGACGAAGTGGTGTGCTAATTAGTATGTCTAATTTTTATTTAGAAGGAATAGATCAAATCAATACAATAATTAATAAATTGAAAAAATACATTCCGCCATATTAAATATTAATTTTTCTCGTACCAAATTTCTGTCTCAAATGAGGAGCCTGTGCAATTGTGGCTGCACTTGCTTTTGTAAGCATACAAATCTTGAATTTCTTGCCAATGCTCAGTTTTTTGATTTCTCGATAAATCTAATTTTTTATATCCAAAAAAAAACACAAATTTTTTAAGAACGCGATATCAAAAATGTGACAATATCAGAAGAATACAAACTTGTTGTGCCAATTCACGCGTAGGAGAAATAATCAATGCGCGATACCCCATCTTTTCGGGTCCCTTCAAATCATGTAAAATTGGTAATAGGTACGCAAGCGTCTTTCCAGATCCTGTAGGTGCCATTGCCATTAAATCGCGTCCCTTTAGTCACAAAAAATCATATTAAACATAATTCATCCACCACGAATATCCATTACAAATGAATTTATAAGTTACATGCAATGACACGGGAATGCTTTGGATTTGTATCGGAGTTGGCTGTGAATATCCCGCGTTTTGAAGATTTTTTTGCAAGTACAATTTAATTTCATATTGGGTGACCAGATCTTGAAATGACCTAAATGGATACGGGATGTCCGTTCCGTACACCCGAATTCGATGTTTTTTACGAAAAATTTGAACCTATTGGGATTTGGAACCAAATTTAAGGAGAAAAATACATAATAGTAGAAATTATGATAAATTTTCTTAAGTTTAATAATATATTGAAATTTTAAGTTACCTCTTCTTGATTCTTAAAGGAATTTACTATGGCACCTATCTTTGAATCCTGTTTTTGCTCCTCTTCAGTTTTTAAGTCTCTTTGAATTCTAGTTCTCTCTATATATTATTATATTACATGTTAAATTTTAAATATACTTTACTTTTTTATAATTAAATAATTTTTACCAGTTACATCATTCTCTCCTATTTCCATCTCTTCATCATCCTCGTCCTCTTCTTGATCTTCATCAATTTCCTCTTTTTCTTTATCATCATCATCATCATCATCATCATCATCAACATCAACATCAACATCAACATCAACATCATCATCATCATCATCATCATCATCATCATCATCATCATCATCATCATCATCATCATCATCATCATCA